ACACGACACCTAAATATCTAGAAAACAACAAATTTCAACCTCTAAAGTCAACAAACCTTGTGAATTTCAAGAAATTCAAGCTTGGGACATCTTGCAAGCGAAAATTGTGGTATAACAAAATAATAGTCAATTGCACTTAAAGAAAGCTTCAGATGAACCAAAGTGTGAAATTCAGGAAATCTAAAGCAAGCATCAACAAGAACCTACAAGTGGATGAGAATAACAAAAAAAATTGAATAATAGATCCCATTTTCTTTTTAAAGAATAACATATATAACAATGAAAATCTAAAAAAACAAATGTATTAATTGTAAGTGTGCTTGTGTGATGGGAGAAAAAGATTTGTAAAAATTAAGAACCTTACCTCTATTGAATAAGTAGACAAGCACAAAAATTTGGTTTGATGAATACCATTCAAAAACTTGGGCACATTCTTTTTCATGCCCATCAAAATATATGTCAACATGTGCTTGTTGTAGGTTAGGCAAGTTGTCAACCAAAGAGCCGCAAAGTTTAGTTTCTTGCACTTGAAGGTACTCAAGAGAAGGTGTAACTATCTGAACTCTTTTATCATGAGACTTAACATGTAACTTTTTCAATGATGGCACATAAATTTTAAAGGAGGTTGAATTATTAGACTTCACTTCCTCATAATAAAGTTCTTCAAGAATGGGACACCCAGACAAAAGTCTCATCATGGGTTCATCATCTATAAGGTAAAGTAGAGAGAGATGCAAAACCTTGAGTGAAGGAAGATGAAAAGATGAAACTTGGCTTAGATTAATTGTCAAGCCCAAAGATAACTTTAGAATAGAGATGGTTTTACAAGTGAAAAGTGTGTTGGGTAATGTAGCCTTTAAATAGTAGTAGCAAGAAAGATCCATCTCTTCAAGGTTTTAGGCAACGGCAGTTGAAACCATTGTGCTAATTAAGTCTAAGTTGGAGTGTTTGTTATACTTTGAGAGACAAAGCCTTTTGATGCATTTTCCTTTACGTTGAGCCAATATGCTTTCAAGAACAAAAGTAAAGGATATATTGAAGAAGCATGACCAATTGTCCTCAAAATCAAGAGTAGGGACAAATGTCCAAATTAATCTCCACCTGGTGGACAAAATACTAGTAGTAATAGCCTTTCTCATTTTGAGAAATGAAAGGATATGGCAAATGACATCATCAGGTAGATTGTTGATCCTATCAACTTGTTCTTTTGGCTTTGATTTTGTTGAAGTAGTCTTGCTTTTTGCCATTGCTTCTACACTGCCTCGCCATTTGGGACATAAAGAAATAAGGAGGTTTTTTAGAAATCCTTTGGCCATTTCTTCTGCATCCAATTTCCAACATCCAAATTCATTAAACATGATAATAAATATAACATTAAGAAAACATTATTTCCTATTAATAATTTAACGCTTAAATATGTCAAACATTTGTGTTGTGGGGTAATGTCAACAACATCAAAATGTCCAGTTACAATTTTACATATACAAGACATGTTCTTCTCATATCAAATTGAAAATATAACAATATCTTGGTTTATTTGGAAATTTTTTTCCAAAAAACACTTCTAAGAGAAGAAAATAAGAAGAAAAAATAACTTATGTTTATCCAAAAGCTTAATTCAACTTATACATAAACTAATTTGTAGAAATTCTCTCATTTTAATTTCTCCAAAATATTCTTTTTAACTTTCGCAAATGATGATAGCAAATTTTAGAGAAGCAATTGTCCTCAAAATCAAGTTTAGAGATGTGGAAAGTAATCTCCACCTAGTGGACAAAACACTGGCCGGTATATAATAATAGTGTCTTTTGTTGTACAAAATGATTGGATGACAAATTATAACATTAAATAGATTGATAACCCAATCAAAATATTCTTATGGCTTTGATTTTGTTGAAGGACTTTCTGGCACTACTTGTGCATCCTTTGGCCATTTGGGATATATATAGGAAGGGTTAATGAACGTAAAGAACATGAAGAAGAAACTCTGTTTGGCATTGTTAATATTCACTATTTTGTAATTTAGAGTAGAATTTTATGGATTTTTTTAATTGGAAAACCATTCAACAATTTATATAAGCCAAGAGGCAAAATTAAGAAAAACAAAAGATAATTGATTTAATATGATCATCAATATAACATGAAGAAAAAGATTTTTATTATTTCTATGATTAATGTATTTTAAAATATTTAATGATTACCTGTTACTTTGACTATAAGAAAAATTTGGACAATAACAATAAAAACATCATTTATTATTTTACATACATAACGTATCATGTGACACATGTATTTATTATTTTATATTGATTGAATTTAATAATATAATGTATAAGATGAAATATATAAGGAGTGATTGGTATAAAAAAAATGCCTACTTTGCTTTGCTTTCTACTTTTACCTTATTTGTGTTTTTTTAAATGATTTGAGGAAATAATGAATAAAATTATTTTTTCCTGTATTCATTTTTATTTTTTTCATTTTCTTATGTTAACTTTTGGAACAAGAAATAACATAAAACAAAAACAAATGAAAATGTTTTCAAACTAGATAATCTTTCTTAATTTTAAGGGTGGGATAAAACTAGGCCAGATGCCTATCAAAGATCTATGGTGTAGATCATCTTATTGAGATAAATTTTGCCATGTCTTTTATAAATTCTAATTAATTAAAAGGTTGTGTTTTAGGTCTTGCAAAAGTATTTTATGTCTAAAAGGTTATGGCCAATAGTCTAAGCTAATGCCCATCAACTAAATAAATTATTTCAAGAATATTTATAAATCCTGTATTTAGTTAAAAATAGGTATCAAATGGATTGGCCTAGTTCGTCTTGCACAGACTAATGCTTGTAAGTAGGATGTCTTGCTCAATTCAAAATTCTTATGGGTCATTAAATGTGTGACTTGGCCTATTAGGTTGTTAGGTCGAGTCAAAGTGACCTATTTTAATTTATTTTATATATTTAAATTTTATAAACAAAAAAAATCAGGATAAATATGTGTAATAAACAAGATGGGTCTGTCATGATGGAACAAATTTGCACATTATTTTTCAGTTCACATTTTTTTGGAGTTCGACCTACTATTTACCCAGCCTACGCGAGTCGAGCATTTTTTTACCCTCTAGTTAAAAAGGTCATACAAATATTTTAGGATGGTAGTATTAATAAAAATAGCTTAAATTGACATGCTTTATATTATGCAAAATTTGAGGCATTTTGAATTGTTATTGACATGGATAAAATTATAGGGAGCCCAAAAGTGTAGAAAAAAAAAAGAAAAAGAAAAATGTAACACCCTAAGTTTTTTAAAATTACTAAAAAAGATATTTTAATTAATTAAATAGATTTTATAAAATATTTTATACGCTTTCAAATATTTATGAATGTTTTTTATTTAATAAAGAAGATTTGCGAAATTATTTTGTTATAGAAAATATTTGTAGCAAATATGTGTTTTAATTATTCATGTAATTAAACGTATTTTGAAAAAATTTATATTTTAAGATATTTAATTATGTTTTTGTTTTAAAAAGAAATAAGAGAATGAGTTATTTTCTTATAATAAAAAGGGGTTTAAAGTGTAGACGGTTTACGCCTTTTGTTTTTCATTTTATGCTCTTCTTATGTGTGCTCTAAAGACGGGCGAATCAAAGACTGTTGTAGACTACCCCTGAAGATTCATGACTTGATAGTGTATTTAGAACACATTTTAATGCCAAATTATCCCAAATTAATGCATTGAAATATGTGTCCCAAATGCACTATAACACCTACATCTAGTGTTCATTAAGGTAAGTGGGAATGAGTAGTCTCGCTTTGGACATGAGATGTATGTTGGATAGAAAGATTTATCCTCGATCTATTATTTGGTCATGTATGTTGTAGGGATAAATCCTAATTCAGATTTATAAACTGTGAATTTGTGTTTAATCCTCTTCTTATGTGTTTTATTTGTGATCATTGAATTTATGTAATTAATTTCATGTAATTTGAATTGTTTGGAAATTTGGGAGTGCTTATAGTTTCTGTAGAATACCCTTGATTTATAAAGTAAGGTGAAGATTGATGATAATTATATGAATACACGAAACTAAGGTTATATTTGAGTAATTGATGGTATCATAGAGTAAATGGACTTCCAAGACCATGACTAAAATGGATCTTGGCTCATCTAAGCCTAATAAGCTCAATATTTTAGCTAGTTACACCTCTCCTAAACTACTAATTACTCCCTCAAAACAAAATCAATACAAGAACAAAAATCTTATACTACTTGACCTAAAATAGTATAACCCAAAGGAAATATTTACTAGGAAAATATACATAAAGAAAATAAAGTAAGCTACTAAGATAACCCAAAGCTCAACAAGAGCTTGAGCCTTCTTCCTTCAAGCTTAGTCCACTCCTCTTGGTTCCTTTAGGACTTGGCCCCTTCGCATGGTGTCATCACCTAATCTCAAGTCTATCTTACTAAAGTCACACACCCCAGCTAGTTGGTCAATAAGATCATTTATCGTTGGCAAAGGATATTTACTCTTAATAGTTACCTTATTAAGTTGATAGTAGTCTACACAATCTCATGCTCTTATCCTTTTTTCTTGAATAACAACATAGGTCCTCCCCAAGGTGATACATCCAACCTAACAAGTTGTTTCTCTTGAAGTTCTTCTATTTGTTTCTTATGCTCGACTAACTTCCTAAAGGACATCTTATAAGGTGGTTCTATAGATATATATGATGTACCAAACACTAAGTTTGTGGCTAACTCAGTCTCTCTCTCTGGTGATAAGCTAGATACACCTATAAGAAGCACTTTAGGAAGACCTTTAACCAAGGTAATCTCACTTAACTCATTTTTCCTCTCAAGTTTCAAATAGGCAAGTACCTTGTATATCTTATCATTTTCTTTTAGATATGAATTAACTTCATTAATAGAAATAAAATAGACATTCTTATTCTCACCAAAAGAAAATGACCTATCAAAGTAGTTTAACAGGACATGGTTGGAAGATAATCAATCCATGTCAAGAATTACATCTAGTTAACTCAGAGACAAACAAATCAAATCAACTAGAATTTCAACAAGAATTTGTAAAGGACATTAAAAACAGGCAATATAAATATAAACAAGACCACTAGTTGGAGTTACATGAATCAGATAATAAATTAGGAGAAGACAAATGATTGAATTTTGACAAACAAACAAATAACATGAAGGAATAAGTTGCACAAAAATCAAAGAGTACAACTAAAAGGTTGAACATCCCACAAACAAAGATTTTCCAACAGTCTCTAGTTGATTAGCATGAAGTATTGTCCACCATTACTCACATCTACGATAACAACATAAGCGATACCACCAACAACCACTATTTCTTACGTAAACAAGAAGTATCAAAACAAACAAGCAAATAAAACAATCAAGGAAAACAACCATACTACAACACACAACCAAACACAAATCAGAGTGCACACAGAATATGCAGTCATGACAAAAAACACACGTGTTCGGTTTGAATCAAATAAGCTCTAATACCATTAACTATGATACCCTTTACCCCACATACTAGCATAAACATATAATTTAATAACTATAGACAAGAACTTCGGAAATATCTTTATTGAATAATGCAAATCCCTTAGGTAGAAGTATCACATATGAACGAAACTAAAACAATAAACAACACCAAGATCCAATAAAGTAATTACAAAGCAAAATCTAACATCAAGTCCTAACATAAAAAAAATCAACACAAATATAATCTTATCGCTTTGATATCACATCCCATCAAAACATAAGTCCGCACAAGGCTTGAGCCTTGTCTCCCACCTCATGATCCTCATGATGAACCTTTCCTACAAACATACACCAAAACACCAACAAAGAGAAAATGGAGTAAAAAACATTCACTTTGGCTACCCGCGTAGGATATGAGAGTAGCCACACAACGCAAAGCATTCAATTTGATCCCACTATTTTTAAATGATTCAATTTGGTTTTTTAATTTTTAAAACTAGTTTAATGTTACCCTTCTATCAGAATTGCCACTAATAATATTAATAAAACCAAACAAAAGAACAACATTAAATATTTTTTAATCAACTTTTATGTATTATAACCCTACTCGAAAAGGGTTATCCATACTCCTAGTAAACTTCTCCACTTGGTTCACCAAGAAAGGATCTAACTCCTGGTCTTCTTTAATCTCATATATTAAACTATTAGTCCTTTCCAACATACTCAATCCAATGCTCTTAAGGCTAATTTAAAATATAATTTATATATTAAAACAATATTTATTTATATATATAATTCCTTATAAATTTTAATTACAAATAATAAATATTTATACATAAGTTAAAATACTAATTATATATAATATATATTTAACAGGAAAAAATTTATATGCTGGAATACTATTTATTATTATTATTATTATTTTTATTTATAAAAATAACCATACCCTCCAACTATAATATACCAAACTGTACCTGATGAATGTCACAAGAGAATGGCTTCATTTGTTTCTGCCGAATGTATCCTTCCTAATCATCGGTCTGGGCTTGGATTTGTGCATGGCCGAGACCGTTCTCTTCGTGTCACTAACATCTCACAACTTCAAAATGCTCCTAAAAGCCCAAGGTCTTTCTCCTTTTTGCTTTCTGTGAAAGGTTATATTCCTAAATCTTTTTACTGTCTTTATGATTGGTGATAAACTTAACCAAGTGTCCAGTTTTTGAAGTTTTGTTTGAAATACAAAATTTCAGGATGCTTTATCTGTTAATCGTGCTTATTTCTGTTTTTTGCATTCAACCTGTTTTGGTGTCTGAACAATTCTCTGCATTCCGTTGTTAGCTTCAGAAAGTAAGCCACATGTCGCTGTTAAGAGCAAGGGTCGATCATCTTTTTCACAAACAGCTGCTGTGAGGCATATGACAGGTTCTGTTACCAGAACCCACGGACTTCGTTTTGCTGTGGTATGTACCCGTGCAATTCACGGGGATAAAATGCAGAAAAAATTATCTATTAAATTTAAAGAATGAAATTGTGTATAATATTTAAATTAGTTAGAGTCCGTCTAATAGTGAAGGTGGGGTAATATGCACAAAATTCTAGTTTCAAATCTTGTTGCGGTCATTTAAATTTCCATTAATAAAAGAAAATTGGTTTAAATAGTTCAATTGCATAGAAAAAGAGTAGGCAGGGTAGAGATTCATTGGAGGGATGTGAAGATAAGGACTAAGGAGGACTTGGAAACCTCAGGGATGGGTCATGAGTTTAAAGAATCAGTTGGGGCTTTAATTGGCTGAACTATTTATGATAAGTTCCAAAAAACATTGGGTCTGGTAGCCCGGTAAAACTAACAAAACAAGGTAGAAATTGATAGGAGGAGAAAGGCCTTGGCATTAGACTTAGGGTTTGATTTTCACCACCCATTAAGATAGAGCATTATGTTTCCAATTCCATAATTCAAACATCTGATCACCCATTGAAAAGAAAGCACTAGTGAATAGTAATGTCTAATGGACCTGCAATAATTTATCCTACAAGAAATCAAAATGGGATACAAAACCCTCGACCATAACCCATGACAGGAAAATAGAAAATGTATTATATGCCAAAATGCTAAGATGTTGCTGCTTCTGTGCCATTCTTCAAAAACTTTTTTCTCTCACCCATATAGGAGTGGTTCCTCTTATAAGTTATGGGAGGTCTTGGCCCTGTGAATTTTTTTTTAAACCTGATAGCTTTCATGCATTTATCATTTTTACCCCTTGAAGATGGTTCTCCTTAACTATTATACTTATAGCAGTCTAGCTCTGAGAATGCACCTATATATATTATGGAAGGAACTGTTTTGATACTTTTTCTTGGCACAATTTCTGACAACTTTTCAGTATTAACGTGTGAGCATGTAGGTGATTGGACTTACGAGTCAATATAAGATCAGGAATGAGTGTTTTACATGGAAAGTAGCAATAGAACCTATTGAGGATGGGACAATATAATCTTGCCTGAGGTTGTTTAATCATGTGAGAAGAACCATACAAGCATGTGAGAAGAACCATACAAGCACCAGTAATAAGATTTGATCATATGGAGGATAGCATAATGATTAGAGGAAGAGGGAGACCAAGTAAAACTCAAACCATTAAAAGGGACTTGCATCTAAATGGCCTTTATGCAGACTTGGTTTATGACTGAACACAATAGCGTTATCCATGCGTACCTTGTAGGGAATTTTTA